CATTCATCGTGCCAACAAGATGAATAAGGGAGCTGCTCACCGCGACTCTACTCTGCAGCTGATGAGTACCATCGATGGTTCTCTTTCCAAGATACAGTCACAGCTTGGGCAACTACAGGAAAGCCTCCGCCGTTGGGAAGAGCACCACGGCCCCTCCCAGGGCGAAGATGAGACGGCAGCGCAACAAGAAACGGCTGAGGAAAGACTATCTTTAACGGTCAGCAAAGACGACTTTGCCAATATGCGGATAGTCGGGCAATTCAATCTCGGGTTCATCCTAGCTACGCGATCATCTGCCGATGACACAGGTGCTGGATCTTCAGCAAAAGACGAACTCTTCATTATAGACCAGCATGCATCCGATGAAAAGTTCAACTTCGAACGACTGCAGGCAGAAACCGTGGTGCAGAATCAGCGCCTCGTCCAACCGAAGCGCCTCGACCTTACTGCTGTGGAGGAGGAAATTGTCATCGAAAACCAAGCCGCGCTGGAAAAGAATGGCTTCATTGTAGAAGTGGACGAAAGCGGAGACGAGCCTATCGGGCGCCGCTGCAAGTTGGTCTCGCTGCCCTTGAGCAAAGAAGTTGTCTTTGGGGTTCGGGATCTGGAAGAGCTCATTGTTCTATTGTCGGAGACGCCTACTAACGCTGCGCGGTCAGCGTCAGGAATGTATATACCCCGTCCGAGCAAAGTGCGGAAGATGTTCGCCATGCGGGCATGTCGGTCGAGCATCATGATTGGCAAGACCTTGACGGTTAAGCAAATGCAGAAGGTGGTACAGAACATGGGCACCATTGATAAGCCGTGGAATTGTCCCCATGGCCGACCGACTATGAGGCACCTGATGAGCTTGGGGCAATGGAATGAATGGGATGAGTTGGACGATGAGGAAGACCAACCAGTAGATTCTTTGGATATATGGCGAGGGTTCTACCAGGAAATGGCTGCACAGAGTGAGGAGGAAGCTGAGGAAGCAGAGTAGATCTCAGCTTGACTGCTCGGGCTTACCTTTTTATACTTTTGAATAACATTATAGACCAGCGGAGTTATTGGATATATATTTTGAGGATTAACTTAACCGACATTCTTCTCATCTACGATTGCATTAATCACCCTTTGGATAATGCTTCACCCTTCAAATTTCCAACTTGAGTTCGGTCAATGAGAACAGCTACTATGACTGGATGATAAGCTATCACATTATACTTCAATGCGATGAATTTAGTACTACTACGCGAGCCCGATTGCTGCGTATCTGGATGCATGAGGGACCCTCGGGATCGGCATCCGAAAGGATAAACGCACGATAACAGTCGGTCCATACACCGAAGCTATCTCAATGGCTGGTGCATCATGGCCATCTCTTGGCCACTTATCAAGTAGTACGACACGTCACGATTGGATGCAGCTGCAGGTCTCCTTGCAGTTGCAATTGGGATTGCGGGGATGCCACACTCCCCGCTCGGGACTCCTCCCGACAACTGCTCTACAAATACCCTTCCTTGCCCAAAAGGTCTCAACTTTACACTCAGTATATACAGGACTGATAGACCATCATGCGGACACTTTACTTCTCACCTCGCGTGCGCGCATCTATTCTGCACACCAGCCGGAGGGCAGGTCAGCCACTGCGAGCCCTCAGTCTATGGCATCCTCCCAAGTTCGAGAATGAGAAGCCAGTAAGTGTCTCCTTCGATACCATGACACTCACTAACAACACCAGCTCGACTACGCAAAAGGCTCACCCGAGAGGGCCGAGTTGACGCAAGCCCTACAGAAGCTGAAGAGTGAGATGCCCTTTAACATCCCCCTCACCATCAATGGCTCCACAGTAAGTCACCTCTCCTGTGACCGAACCCACGCAGCTAACAAACCAGACACAAACTATCAAATCCCAAATCCAAAAGAACCCCTCACGCCACAACGAGGTAGTTGCCGAATATGCATCCGCTACACCCGAGCAGGTTAACACCGCCGTGGACGCAGCCCTCAAAGCTAAACCAGCCTGGGAGGCCATGCCCTTCGAAGACCGCGCTGCCATCTTCCTACGCGCCTCCGAGCTCATCGCAGGCAGATACCGCTCTGAAATTGTTGCTGCCACCATGCTAGGCCAAGGCAAGAACATCTGGCAAGCCGAGATCGACGCCGCCGCAGAAACAGTCGACTTCTTCCGCCACTATATCCAAGAGTGCTGGTCACTCTTCGCCCAGCAGCCCAAAGTTCACCTCCCCGGCACCTGGAACAAGCTTGAATACCGGCCTCTGGAAGGCTTCGTCTACGCCATTGCCCCATTCAACTTCACCGCACTAGGCGCAACCCTCATCGGCCCAGCTGCCCTCCTAGGCAACGTCGTAATCTGGAAGCCATCCGACTCTGCCCTTCACGCCAGCTGGCTCCTGCACCAAATTCTCCTTGAAGCTGGTCTCCCCAAAGACGTAATCCAATTCCTCCCCGGCAACGCCGAACAAGTAACCAACACAATCCTCCATCGTCCCGAATTCGGCGCCCTCACCTTCATCGGATCCACGCAAGTCTTCAAAGGCCTGCAGAAGAAAATCGGCAATGCCATCGGCGAGGGAATCTACAACTCCTACCCGCGTGTAATCGGCGAAACCGGCGGCAAGAACTGGGGCCTCGTGCACCCCTCAGCAGACATCACCAACGCAGCTCTAAACACCATCCGCGGGGCGTTCGAATACCAGGGCCAGAAATGCTCAGCCAATTCTCGCGTCTACGTCGCCGAATCCGTCTGGCCTGCTTTCCAGCAAACATTGAAGGACCACCTCTCCCGCCTGTCTGTCGGCCCTGTCGACGAATATGCCCACTTCATCAATCCCGTCATCCACGAACGCGCCTTCGACCGCCTCGCAGAGGTCATTCACTCCGCGCGCAACGATCCTGAACTCGAACTCATTGCCGGCGGTATCGCCGATAAGGATCAGGGATACTACGTACACCCAACTGTATATCGCACCTCGAACCCGAAGCATGAGATTATGTCCCGGGAGCTGTTTGGCCCGATTCTAGGCGTATATGTGTACCCAGATAACGAGTGGGAAGAGACACTAAAGTTGGTGGACGGGACATCACGCTATGCCTTGACGGGGAGTATCTATGCGAAGGACCCGTATGCGTCGCGACAGGCGCAGACGGCGCTGCGTCATGCGGCGGGCATGCTGTATCTGAACACGAAGTGTACGGGGTCGACGGTCGCGCAGCAGCCGTTTGGGGGTAGTCGGGACTCCGGGACGAATGATAAGACGGGCACGATGGCGCATTTGCAGCGGTTTGTGAGTGTGAGGACGATCAAGGAGGAGTTTGGGAGCTTGGAGGAGGTGGAGTATCCTTCTACTGTTGTGTGAATGAACATGATGTTATTTGTAAGGTTCTAGGTCAGGTTAAGCGACTGTTAACTGCAGTGAACTGACATCTACCAGTCATCAAACGAAGATAGCTTTGTTCAACGTAGCTACTACCCGTCAGCATAGATAGGTCTATTGTCCCTTCCAGGGATCGCTTCCTCCCCCCTTCCTAAAGGCTTTGAATGACCGGCATGCATGTCAAAGTCTTCAGCACATTCCGAGGCGCACTGACACATGACATAAATCATGAAACCTTGCCCTACAGTAGACACTGTATAGATAACGGTAACTACCGCACACAATCAGTTTACTGCACCAATCACTGCCAAGAAGACTGTAGCTAGAGATTTGACGCCACATTCGTGGTCCAACCAGCCTGTGAGCGGAGTTAGTTTCCGGTCTACTTAACCTGAGCTCTACTGAGCTGAGCACGTATTCTTGATCCCTCTGTGGAACGAAGAAGGCCAAGGCCCTTTTGAGAGTTAATACCTTGTCATATAATTATGAGCCCCATCGCGCAGACCCGAAGCTGCTGAACCGATTGGAGTAATAATCTCGTAAATTCAGTGGAATCAGGGACTGTGAAGCTGGAGCTGGGTGCCGTGGAAGAGTTGTCTCTGATCCCTTGCCTTCTTCATTCCACACTCAAGCCCATATGGCGGTGGTGCCTTCAGTCATCTTGTGAGAAACAGGAAATGCAAAAAAAAAGTAGACCTACCACTTTAAGCACTGTACAAACTTAAAGAATCAGATACGCCCTCGCTGATGGCAAGATGGGACGGTTCGTGCGCAATGGATTATCTATTGCCAATCAACTGCTGGGCGACGAAGCGTTTATGAAATACTCATCATGACATTTGGACAACAATAAGGCAAGCATATTTCACTGCATTCTTGCTTTACCATAGAGAAAAGTCGGTCGAACAGGTAACGAGTCTGGCCAGCTCTTACTCACACGTACATGCCCAAATCAGGGTTCGAGTTCAGGGTGTAGTGGAACCTGGCTCGACCCACGACATGACACACGACTTTAGGTTGTACTACTAACCTCTGCAGGACCGTGCATTCGAAGAATCAGAAACTCCAGTCATTGCAGCGGAGGCGGATTTGAGAGGAATGTACGTACTTCCTCTTCACAGGTTTCGGGAAGTATTCCCGCCGATCATTCCTCGATGGTCATCAATTTCACCTTAGGGCCTTCGGTCATTCCACGATCAATATGGCGAGATGGTGCCTGGCTGGAATCTCAGATAAACAAAGCAACCTACCCTCCCCCTCAGGTAATAATTTAATTATGATTGACTTGGTCAGATGGAGTACAGTAAGAAAGTAGCGAGTTACTCTATCAGTCAAAAACATATTACCTGTCAAGTAAGTACTAGTACTCTGGAATGAAAAATTCAACCACTCAATTTCCATTTCCCTTCTTGGTAATATAGTATATAATAGTATATATACCACGCAACCAACTCTCTCTCTCTCTCACTCACACACAAAAATAGATACCGGAAGGGAAATCGAACAAAACCAGATATAGTAAACAAACAAGACACGCAATCGGATGTTCAAACAGCAGGGCCTAACCGATATCACGTGGTCTGGATCTCAATTTGGAAAAGGAACGTCGGCTCAACTACCATGACCTTTCAGGCTTCCGACTCTCAAGTCGTACAGAATGGGGGCCTCGCGCCGGCTTCCGTTTTCAATTCACCGTGGGAACCCGCAGTCGCAAAACCCCCAACTGCCATCGAATCCTGTCTACATGAGTTGGTTGAGCAGCGCTGTGAGGAACAGCCAGAAGTACCTGCAGTGTGTGCATGGGATGGCGAATTCACCTATCGGCAACTCAGCAACCTAGCTCGTTCACTCGGCGCGTCGCTGTCGGCTCGGGGTGTCAGCCCAGAAGACTTTGTGCCTATTTATTTTGAGAAGTCCCGGTGGGCGATCATTGCGATCCTGGGTGTCTTGTATGCCAGAGGCGCCTTTGTACTACTCGACCCATCGCAACCATTACAGCGGCTCAAGGAAATTTGCCAAACATTCAAGGCGCCGTTGGTGGTAGCCTCATCCCAAAATGCGTCCCAAGCTGGCCAGCTTGCGCCCGATGTGGTGGTCCTGCACAAAGAAAGAGGGCAGGGAAAGCAGGGTATGGCTCCAGGGGCAGCTAGTCGTTCTAAGCCAAGCAACGCCGCCTATGCCATGTTTCCCTCCGGGAGTACAGGTGCCCCTACAGGCGCTGTGATCGAACATCGATCTATCTCATCTTCGATCGTCGATCACGGTAACCGATTAAACCTCACCCGGACATCGCGAGCACTGCACTTTGCTTCTTACGCTTTTGATGTCTGCCTCACTGAAACCCTCGCCGTGCTAGTCCACGGAGGGTGTATATGTATTCCATCTGAAGTGGAACGACGGGGTGACCTTGCCACTGTGATACGACGTCTGCGAATCAATTGGGCTTTGCTCATGCCATCCATGGCTCGCTCATTGGATCCCAAGACCCTGCCGACGCTCGAGACTCTAGTATGTGCCGGGGAAGCCCTGACCGCACAAGATAGAGATCGTTGGGCTCCTCATCTGAAATTATTCAACGCCTATGGACCCACTGAGTGCAGTATCTTTGCCTGCGTCCATGCCGTTCCCGAGGCAGCGGACTTGCCCATCAGAGTAGGGCTTCCGGTTGGTGGAAGCTGCTGGATTGTGGATGAGAGGGACGTTCAACGCCTTTGCCAGGTAGGCAAAGTAGGTGAGCTTTTGATCGAAGGTCCGACTGTTGGGCGGGGATACATAGGGTGCGGAGCCAACACAGCTGCCGGCTTCGTCGACCGCCCCGACTGGCTGCGAAAGATATGGCCAAGTGTGCAGGGCAAAGGTTTATAGGACTGGTGAGCTCGCGCGCTGTCATGTAGATGGCTCCATTGAGCGTCTTGGTTGCAGGGATAGCCAGCTAAAAATCGCTGGCCACCAAATGGAAGCGGTCGAGATTGAATACCATGTGCGCTCACATCCTTCGATCATGGATGCCGCAGTGGAAGTGATACAACCAAGGGATGCGCTCGAATCGCCCCTTTTGGTCGCATTCGTGGTACGTCAGACCAGGAGTCCCGGGGCTTCTCAAGCAACCACTTCCGAAAGTGAGCTGGTGGTCCCAGATGGGGATTTTCAGACACTAGTTCAGCAAGTAAAATTCAAGCTGCGACATGTTCTCCCCGGCTACATGGTTCCCACGGTTTTCCTGACGATATCTTCCATGCCACTGAGTACCAATGGCCAACTGGATCGCCGAAGCCTACGTCAGCTTGGAAACTACAAAACTCAACGCGACTTGCTCAAGCTAGGTCTGGAGACAACAGCGAAGATACCGCCGCGAAACCCTAAGGAAACATTAATGCAGCGACTGTGGGGAGAGGTACTACAAATGCCTACCGAGCGTATTGGCATCGAAGATAACTTCTGGAGCCTAGGTGGAGATTCCATACAGTTTATGAAGCTATCAGGGTTAGCGCGCAAGTGCGGAATGATCCTGGAAGACGAGGATGCTTGGGGTGATGACGCTAGAGGAAATGGCATCGAGTGCCAGCATGGATCATCTCCCGTCGGAAGAAGTACCAGCCTTCTCGCTTTGTAAGAGTGAGAGTGAAATAATGGAGGTGGCGCACACCCTGGGCAAGTTTCAGGTAAAGCAGGACGACATTGAGGACATCTACCCTTGTACTCCGCTACAGGAGGGCCTAATCGCGGTAGCCCTGAAACACTCAGGCGCGTACACCATGTCTATGGAATTCGAGCTGCCCATCAACATCGATATCAACAAATTCCGCCGCGCTTGGCAAGCAACAGTGGAAGCCAACCCAATCCTGCGAACGCGCATCGTGCCGGGGAAAGAAGCAGAACTTTGGCAGGCCGTCATCCGGGATGTCATTCCATGGGACATAAGGAATCCGAGTGAGGATGTCCCCCCAATGTGGAAGGACTGGAAGACAGGACAGCGATTGATTAGATTGGCGTTGAGTGATCCGACAACCCCAAACACGCCTCGCCATTTCACACTGCTCATGCACCATGCACTGTTTGATGCCTGGGGAATTCCATTATTGCTGCAACAAGTGGAAGCAGCCTACAGAGGGGAGATATTGTCCTTGAGGCCCTTTAGCCCCTTTATCTGATACTTGAGATCCCAAAGCCAGAGCGATATAGACCGTTATTGGACAGAGTGCCTATCAGACCTGAACGCGGTCCCTTTCCCCAAATTACCGTCCCCGGATTATGTTGCGAAGCCTACAAAAACGATTGCATATGTTATTCCGCTTGCAGCGGCCTGGCATACCGAACAACAAATAACTCTGCCGACTAAGCTCCTACTTGCGTGGGGCCTCCTAGTATCTCACCACACAGAGAGTTGGGGTGTAGTTTTCGGGCTAACAGTTGCCGGCCGTGGTGCGCCAGTTGAGGGCATTGAGTCCATGATCGGACCCACCATCGCCAGCATTCCCATGCGACTGCTTCTTGATCCCCAAGCGACCGTGATCGAAATCTTGAAGAATGTACAGGCGCACTCACGCCGGACCATGTCTGTAGAGCAGGTCGGGCTTCAGCGCATCAGGCTTCTGGACGCCGAGTCCGCCGCTGCCACGCAGTTTCAGAGCCACCTAGTCATCCAAGCCGATGAAGGCGAGCACCGACACCCGCCTATGTTTTCTAAACTTCATGATCTCACTGAGTTAACCGAAACCGCTTCTTCTGGTATTACCATAGTCGCTAAGCCATCCTCGACCTCTGTGGCGCTTGATATCGCCTATGACCCGCTGATGGTCACTGATGTGCATATGAAGCGACTGATTCATCAGTTGGAGCATATCTACCAGCAAATTCAGCAGACACCTAACGCTCGACTAGAAGATATCGAGAGCATCAGCACATGCGACATGGCCGAGTTGCGGAAGTGGAATGGCCAACCCCCAGCACTGGTCGAACAGTGTGCGCACGAGCTGATCTATCAACGTACGCTGGCTCAGCCTAAAGCGCCCGCCGTCTGCGCGTGGGATGGCGAGTTCTCATACCAGGAACTCGAAACACATGCAGAAAATGTGGCAAGACGCTTAGTATCCATGGGTGTTGGTCCTGAGACCTTCGTTCCCCTGTATTTCGAGAAGTCGCGGTGGACGACTGTCGCCATGCTGGCCATTTTGAAAGCCGGCGGTGCTTTCGCCTTGTTCGACCCCTCGCATCCCATGGATCGATTGCAACAATTATGTCAGGAGATGCGCGCTTCTACTCTGCTCTGCTCGGAAGCCAATGCTCCTTCTGCTAGTCAATTGGGACCATTACATACTGTCATCCTCGGGTCCCACCATAACGAGCTGGTGACCGCCGAAAGTCCCGTGAACGCTAGTCCGGCCACTCCAAGTAATGCCATGTATCTGGTATTTACCTCGGGGTCAACAAGAAAGCCGAAAGGGGCTGTGATTACTCATGGTAGCTGGTGCACAATGGCGCAGGCAATATGCCCCAAATACTACCTCAGCCCAGAGTCTCGAGTGCTGCAGTTTTCCGCCTATGCGTTTGATACGAGTATATTTGACCACCTCGCGACACTAGTTGCTGGTGGCTGTATATGTGTTCCGTCTCAACAAGACTGTCTATCGAATCTTACGGGTGCTATTGCAGACCTTAAGACTAATTGGGCTATGATAACGCCTACTGTCGCTCGTACCTTGAACGCTCAGACATCTCCCACGTTGAAACACCTTTTGCTGGCTGGAGAGGCCGTGACCCCAGCTGATGCTGAGCAGTGGTCTCCATACTTGCACCTCATGAATTGTTATGGTCCGGCTGAATGTGCAATACTGATGACCGTGCAGCAGGTGGTAGACCCAAAGCAGTCAACTAATATTGGCCTTGCTACTGGGGCGGTGGGATGGGTTGTCAAGCCCTCGAATGTCAATCAGCTATGCCCTATCGGTGCCGTTGGAGAGCTGATAGTTGAAGGCCCGACTATTGCACGGGAGTATCTAAACCAACCGGAAAAGACGGCTGCGGCATTTCCAGACAGCGTCCCCTGGCTGTGCACATTCCGCGCTAGTCCGTGCAGATTGTATAGAACCGGAGATCTCGTGCAGTATAACGATAAAGGGGAGTTTATATTCATCGGCCGCAAAGATACGCAGGTCAAGCTGCGAGGACAGCGAATGGAGATGGGAGAGGTGGAATATCACCTACACCGCTGCTTTCCTGGGGCTCAGGGAGTAGTTGCTGACGTCCTTCCTTCAAAAGACGGGCGAGCTGCTTTTCTGGCCGGGTTCGTTGTGCGCACGCCATCAATTGGAGCTAACTCCAGCTTGATTGTGGAGAGTGACGCGAGCTTCTCAAAAGCAGCAGCTATTGCCCTTTCTGGAATGAAACAGCACCTCCCATCATACATGGTCCCGGCGGTTCTGATCCCCCTCAGTCGTCTGCCTGTTTCTGCAACGGGTAAATTGGATCGGGGCGTCCTGCAAGCACATGCAGCGCTATTGACTTCCGAACAGCTTGATAAGTTCAGAATGGCAGAGAAAGCTCCAATCCGAGGGCCAGAGACTCACACCCAGGCGGTACTGCGGCAAGTTTACGGGGTCGTTCTTTCAATTCCCGAGGACCGGATCGGGATTAAGAATGACTTCTTCCGAAGGGGTGGTGATTCCTTGTCTGCCATGAAATTGGCTACGCTCGCACGAAAGTCGGGGTACTCTTTGACCGCGGAAGATATCTTCACTAGACCACGTATAATCGACCTCGCAGCGACGAAAAGCATGGCCAATGTCACGCACAGCGACGATAAAGTGCCACCACTCACTCTCATCTCAGATTTACAGGTACAAGAGCAAATTATATCAGCGCTGCAGACCCAGGCTGGAGTGGCCAGAGTTCAGATTGAGGACCTGTACCCATGCACCCCGTTGCAAGAAGGCCTTATGGCGTTGACTTTGAAGACTCCCGGAAAATATGTTGCAACATTCGTCTATGACCTTGTAGAAAATGTCGATTTGGATCTTCTCCAAGCGGCGTGGAATGCAACTTGTGTTGCAAACCCTATTCTCCGTACACGACTGACACAGGGCTCGGGAGGCAGCTTTCAGGTCGTTATGCAAGAGGCACCATGCTGGGAGAAATATAGCACACAGCAGGATTACCAAAGCCGCTCTGTGCCTGCAGTAATGGGTCTCAACGTACGCTTGCTTCGTCTTTCATTGATAGCTAGTCCTCCTCGTCTTGTCATGACTATCCACCATGCCCTCTACGATGGCTGGTCCCTGTCTCTCATTTGGGACCAGGTCGAGGCTGCCTACCGCGGACAAAGTCTTCAGCCCCGGCCATTCTCACCGTTCATTCGCTACCTCCACCAACAACAGGATGACTCCGCTTCGACTTCCTTTTGGCGGTTTCAATTTGAAGACCTCAAAGCAGCTGTATTCCCAGCTCTCCCACATCCAACTTACGAACCGATACCGAATCAGGCCATCCATCGGCGACATTCCATGAGAACCGATGTTCAGCTGGATTTCACTATTCCCACGGCCATCCAGTTGGCATGGGCAATCGTTATGTCCTATTATACGGACTCAGTCGATGTCGTGTTTGGACTAACTCTCAATGGGCGCACCGCAGCCGTGTCTGGCATCGACCAGTTCACGGGGCCGACTGTCACAACCGTCCCATTTCGCGTAAGATTAGAGTTAGATAAATCTGTACAGTATGAGGCGCGCCAGATTCAACAGTAAGTAGCAGCCATGACGGCCTATCAGCAGACTGGATTGCGAAAGATTGGGTCGTTTAGCAGTGAAGCAGCCAGGGCATGAAAGTTTCAGAGTCATCTAGGAATTAATTTTCTTCCAGAGTCTAGCCACGGCGCTCTGATAGCCCAAGTTCAGAGCGAGCATCTGAATTTAGGGGATTTTGCAAGCTACGGTTTTGTTCTTTCTTGTAATAAAGTTGCGGAGGTGGATGGCTATCTGGATATCGTGGCCCAGTATGACCCGAGCATGTTGGATGTGCACCAGGCCCAGAGGATGGTCATTCAATTTGAGCACATTCTTGACCAAGTCCTCTTTCACCCGGACATGTCTCTACGGAGTCTCTCAGCAGTTAGCGATCATGATTGGGAAAGATTGGCCCGCTGGAATGCTACACTGCCATCGCCATTAGAGCGCTGCTTGCATGACTCCGTTTTGGACCATGTAATGTCGCGTCCGTCTGCCTTAGCGGTGTGTGCCTGGGATGGGGACTTGACTTTCGAAGAGTTAGCCTCCTCCCTTGTGCTGGCGCAAGTACTCGGTCTTCAGGCGGGATCAGTTGTGCCTATCAGTCTAAATAGATCAAAGTGGTCGGTCATCAGCATCATGGCCGTTTTGCGTGCTGGAGCAACCGCTGTTTGCATTGATCCTAAGCTTCCAACTGAGCGGCTGCAGAGTATACTCGATCAGACACAGCCTGGAATAGTCATTTGCTCGGAAGAGACGAAGGGTCAATTAAAAGGACATTCTGCGGCCACTGTACTAATTGTACCCTTCCAGATGCAAGTGCATGGGCTTGGCTCGGCTTCTGTCGAGCAGCCCTCGGTGAGCCCCGTCTCCCCGGCCTTTATTGTCTTTACCTCCGGCTCCACCGGGCGACCCAAGGGCATAGTGATGGAGCATCGGAATCTGTCGACGAGCATTCAATATCACAGTGACGCACTGAACATAACCAAGAGTAGTCGGATGCTTCACTTTGCGTCATATGCCTTCGATGCTAGCATTTATGAGATATTCACGACACTCGTCACCGGAGGATGTGTCTGTATACCGTCTGAGTCTGAGCGGATAAACGCAATTGAGCAATTCATTGCAGACAAGCAAGTCAACGCGGCCCTCTTGACCCCATCGATGCTTGCCATACTGGATCCTGATCGGGTACCTAGTTTAAAAACTGTTATATCAGGAGGCGAAGCGCTGACACGGCACGTTGCCAGTCGGTGGGCACCCCATGTGACACTTTTTAATGCTTATGGTCCGGCTGAGACCATAATATGCGCAGCAGGGCCAGTAGTCGAGGGGTCCTGGACACCAGGCACCGTTGGCCCTGTTCTAGGCGGAGCAGCATGGGTGACTGCTCCCTCTGATCCCACACGATTGGTTCCCCTTGGTGCAGTTGGCGAGCTCATCATCGAAGGGCCAATTGTCACAAGAGGATACTTTAACAGCCAAGTGCTCACGCAAGCAGGATACATTGACCCTCCAGAATGGCTCACCCGCTGGCGAAATGGCCGCCCTGGCCGCCTCTATCGCTCGGGCGACCTTGTCGAGCTTACTACCGAAGGGACAATTCGGTTTGTCGGCCGCAAAGACACACAAGTGAAGCTGCGCGGACAGCGTATAGAGTTAGCCGAGGTCGAGTATCAAGTACGAAGCTGCACTGGAGGTTTAGATTCGATTGTCGACATTGCAACGATAGACAGCTCACCGACCTTATTCGCCTGTATTATTCTTCAGGACATGGCTGGTAGTAAAGGCGAAGGCGCACCCTTTCTTCCCCCCACAAGCACATTCCAAAAGTCCATGCAGGTCGCGGAGCTCTCTCTTCGCGACGCCATTCCCAGATATATGGTCCCCTCTATATTCCTTCCTATTGCCAAGGCCCCTCAGACAGCTGGAGGGAAGGTGGACCGCAGAGCTCTTCGCAAGACTGTCGAAGCTCTTCTGCCCTCTGAAATTCAGCGGTATATGACCGCTACACAGCGCAGCCACCGACAGCCATCGACAGAAAATGAAAAGGCGATCCATGCTATCTGGGTTCAGGCTTTGAACAAAGCTGCCGACATGGTGGGCGTTGATGACAGTTTTTTTCATCTGGGCGGCGATTCGATTAGTGCTATGCAAATTGTCTCTCAATTAAAAGGTATCGGGATCCGCACCACAGTCGACCACATCTTCCAACAGAGCACAATTGCCAAGTTGGCAACAACAGTCACAAGTAGTATTTCTAGTTCGTCAGATTCCCTGCAAGATGGAGCCCATGATACACCGTTCCGCCTATCGGCGATTCAACAGCTTTTCCTGGACCGAGTTCCGGTGCACTACAACCACTTCAATCAGAGCTTCTTCTTCGAGCTTCGGCGGCCCGTCCAAGCTGCCAAGGTAGAGCAGGCAGTACAATGGATTGTACGTACTCATTCTATGCTGCGGACGCGGTTCTCTCGTAATGCCGAGGGGATATGGTATCAGACGATCAGCAAGGATGTGGACAATTCTTACCGATACGAAAAACATGGGAAAATGTCACAAAGGGACGCCGAAACCCTTTATACGGATCGTCAACAAGACTTGAACATTGAATATGGGCCTTTGATTGCTGTGGATCTGATGCATATCCACGGCGGCAAACAATGGCTGTCCATCATGGTCCACCACCTCGTTGTCGATATTGTATCGTGGCAGACTATCCTGGACCAACTAGAGCGGCTTGTGGAATCGAAGCCTGTGAGCCCACAAAGCGCCATGTCCTATGCGACATGGGCTCGTCTCCAGGAGGAGCACATTGTCTCTACCCCAGAGATAAGAGACCAGGCTGTCCCGGCGGCGATTATGGATTACTGGGGATTGTCCGAAACCAGCAATAATTATGCCGACGTAGATCAGTACCAAATAACACTCAATCGTCAACAGACTAGTCAGGTTCTGGGGCCTGCCAACAAAGCCTTTAACACCAGGCCAGTCGAGCTGCTGCAGGCGGCGCTGATGCATGCGTTCATGAAGACATTCCTTGATAGACCGACTCCGGCCATCTTCAACGAAGGTCATGGGCGCGATCCATGGGCGGACGATATTGACGTGATCGGAACCGTTGGATGGTTTACAAATATCTGGCCCTCTTATGTGCCTCTGGGTCCCGACTGTGATCTGATGGAGGCGGTACGTCGAACTAAGGATGGGCGACGCGACGTCCAAGACGTTGGGCGATTCTACTTGGCAGCACGCCAGGGTCGGATGACGGCGATGGAGATCACTCTCAATTACGCCGGCACTTCAGAGGCAGCAGAATCACCTAACTCGCCTTTTAAGCGGGTACCCTTGTCGATTTCGACTCTTGTCAACCAGGGATCGCATGTGGGTCGTTTTGCCCTGGTTGATATCCTTGCCAATGTGACCGAAGGAAGATTGTCGATTGACTTTCTATACAATCGGCATATCAAGCACGCAGAAGAGATTGTCGGATGGGCGGAAAGATCCCGAGAGGCCCTGTCAACCCTGGCCCAGCGATTTCCCACGATTCCTCCTCGTCTGACCCGATCCGATGTGCCTCTACTGCGATTGACGATGAGCAATTCTTCGAATTTGAGGCCCTGACAGACAGACTCAGTCTCGCCGGCAAGACCGTGGCGGATGCGTCTGCATTCCATCTGATTCGGACCGCCTTGGCAATCTGGCTGGATTCATCCGCGAGGCGCAGGTAGATTTTGCGCTATTGACGCCTTCAGTCATAGATCGCCTGCTGCGACCGGAGCTAGTTCCAGGGCTTGATACAATTGCCTTTGGCGGTGAGGCAGTGACCCAGGATATTGTCGACCGTTGGTCGCCGAATCGCAAGTTGATCAATGCATACGGACCTGCAGAAGCAACAATCTGTGCCGTTGGCGATATTAACCCCTGTTCTTGGACTGCCGGCACGATAGGGCCCGTTATTGGAGGTGTTGGATGGGTCACAATGCCGTCGGATGTGTCTCGTCTTGCTCCCGTGGGTGCTGTAGGAGAATTGGTGATTGAAGGGCCGGTTGTCACTCGTGGCTATCTAGATGATCCAGAACGAACAGCCGCAGCCTATATCAGTCCGCCGAGTTGGTTGACCCTATTCCGGTGGAAAGAAAAGCCAGGTCGTCTCTATCGCACCGGAGACTTGGTACAATGTACCGACGACGGAGGGATTCGATTTTTAGGCCGAAAGGACACCCAAATCAAGTTACGCGGTCAGCGCATTGAGCTATTGCATGTTGAACACCACGTACGACAGTGCTTCAGGGAGGCGGCGGATATCATCACCGACATCGTTCTGCGTGAGGGGATTCCTACACTGATCGCGTTCATCGCCCAGATACCGTCTGATGGTGGTGAGTATGCTGATAATCCTGGCGACGCTTGTAACGGCTGCAGCTTGTTTCTGAAAACCTGCACATCGTTTCGAGCGCACGTCCAGGCAGCGACCGCACACCTAAAATCTCTATTGCCCGCGTATATGGTCCCTGCCATATTCTTACGTCTCGCGTACGTGCCACGAACAAGAAGCGATAAGTTGGACCGACAACATCTTCGTGACCAAGCCTCCCGCCTTTCTAACGATCAGATCCAAGCCTTGTCGGCGAGTTCGGAAGGTATGCTATCAAGCACCTTGCATCCTCCACGTTCAGCGCGGGAGCGCGTATTCCAGCAGTTCTGGGCCACAGTTCTGAACATCTCTGTGGATAGGATTGGAACCCAGGACGACTTTTTCGAATTGGGCGGTGACTCCATCCAAGCCATGAGATTTATTGCCTGTTAAGGAGAGAAGGGCTGACACTAGGTGTATCCGATATCTTTGCGTGGCCAGTGCTAGAAGATCAGGCCCGCGGTGCGCAGGAATATGCAAATCTAACGGAGATGGAGCCGTACTATCCCGGGTCGCTGCTCAATATCAAGCCTGAAGATCTTGGAGCCTTTGCTGTCCGCGAACTAGCTCCAATTTGTCCAGCTTTAGAGGTCGAGGATATAGAAGACATTCTTCCTACCACAGAGTTTCAACGTCATTTCCTGAAACACTCCGAGATTCGGTGGTTGCAGCTTCCTCTGCCGATGGAGATCGACTCTGCACGCCTAGAGAAGGCGTGCCATGTTTTGGTAGATCGACACCCCTTGTTTCGCTCTGTATTTCTGCCATATCGCGGTGGATACTTGCAGGTACTCCTTCGGCGTCTCCAGTTTCAACTCATACAGATCCGGTGTGATGAGGAGCTTGACGCATATGTTGATCGCATTTGCTTGAGCAACTCCTCAGCCGGAGTTCCCTGGGGAACACCCTACTTCCAGGCTTTGCTCATCACGAAAGCTCCGTCGAATTCAGTCCTACTCATACGCTGCAGCCATGCCCAACACGACGGAGAATCTAAGCCTTTGATAATCCAGGACCTTATTTCGGCATATGAGAGAGGAGGACTGGACGAGGCCCCTCCTCCCTCATTTGCGCTGTACTTGCGGCACCGCCAAATGCAGGCGAATCCGCACACATACGAGTTCTGGAAGCAGTATTTGCAGAACGGTACAATGACTGCCCTCAGCCTCACAGGATCAGACAGCAACCTGCCCCTTCAGATCAACAGAACCATTCCTCTTCCCACACCACCCCGTGGGATCACCATGTCATCCCTCGTGAAGGCCGCCTGGGCTGTAGTTCTAGCTCAAGTCACCAAACAACGGGATGTTGTATTCGGCCACGCCTTAAACGGGCGCGACACGCCCATTGCCGGCGTCCATGCTATTTCTGGGCCTTGCACGACTATCTCCCCACTTCGAATCACCATTCGCCTGCCTTCCGAAAACGCGGTCCTCGATCTTCTGCATCATGTGCAAGATCAATACACACGAGCCTTGCCATATGCTGGAGTAGACTTTGAGACAATTCGCGAGCACTCGACGTCGTGGCCTGCGAATGCATCCTTCTGCAGTGTTCAAGTTCATCAGAACGGCGCCGTCATGCGCACGAGTTTCAAATTCCACGGTCATGACTGTGCTTTGGGATATCGTGTAATAGGCGGCATGCCATATTTTTTGGTGTCGACGATCCCTGTGCAGGATCAAGGGCAATTGAAGGTCAGCATGATTATCTCCAGTCGACTGGGGAGTTTGGAAGACGTTGAGGATCTGTTGGGTCGATACTGCTCGGCTATAGCGGATCTGGACCGTGGAGTGATTCCTCTTTGATCGGTTGTTATGTATACCGGGTAGATCGATGAGAGGGTCAGTTGAAAAGTAAGTTGTTAGAATAGTTGGTGCAAGAAGATAAGAGCATAGAAGAATATTTTCTTAGCCAGATTTGAAGATAAGTAGTTTGTGTACATAACCCATACCAACAGGTACCCATAACTCCCAGCTCCTCCTTATTCTCCCAACTTCAGGACAGACATTCATCGATATAATCCTCCGTTATCCTACCTCTATAACCCCGGTACACCAGAACCCGAAGCATCGAGGCAATCAATAACCAGTACTAACCGCACATAGTATTTACTTACTGCCGACCCCTGCCGCCCTTCTGGCCGCCAGAACCGGCAGAACCTAGCGAACCTCGAGAGAAAAGTCGCGGATATAGACGGATTTAAGCGGATATAGTTTCGTACAGCCCCGAAAAACTGAGTCAGCATTCTGGATGTTTTTTTGACCGCTTTGGATGGGGTTGGAGAAGTATATCTCGTTCAATCGAGTTGATCATGATTTAGAGGGTTGGGTCATTGGGGTGCTTTATTGGAGCTCTCGATGAATAGATGTAATTCTCTTCGTTTTCTAATGGGTATGGACGGTAATGGTATGAGATGTGTGTATCTACTATTTCTTCGAACCTATGATTCTAGGATGTCTGTCTCCTATAGTAGTATCGTTTAAGATAGTAGTAATGCTGATAAGAGATCATTATGTCTTGATGTCCTTTCAAATGGGCAGTATACCTTTTGCCTTTTCTTGAAGAATACGAACGCTGTATAAAGGTATTCAGGGAGCCATGAAAATTCCCCTCGTTCCCAAATAGTAGTAACCAAGTAAACATAAGTATCTCGTATACACATGAAAAGTTCCTCCTACCACCACTTAAACCACGATGATGATCCTGTCTTACTCCCACTTCCACTAGTACCACTAGTAGTACCTCCATCATCACCATCACCACCACCATCAACAGTACTAGTATTAGCACTCCCCTTCCCCTTCCCAACCCCATTCCTATCATCAATAATCCCACCATTCATCCCATCCCCCTCCACCCCCTCCACCCCCTCCCCACTATCACCACCATCACCATCCCCCTTACTCTCCACATACCCCATCATCTCCTCCAACACCAACAATTCCCTCTCCACCACCTCCGCCCAATTCTGCACGTCCCCAATCTCCTTCAACCCGTCCCGTGCCTCCCCCGCCAACTTATCCCAGCTCTCATTCTGCTTCGCCAGCGCAGCCGTATGTGCTTCTAGCTCTGCTTGCTGCTTGTCCAGCGCTGCCGCATTCTCTGTGATGATGTGTGCGCGCTCCACGAGCGGGCTGGCATGTGTGCTGCCGATGTTGAGGAGCGTCGCGCTGAAGGCCGATTTGGCTTCTAGGGTTTCTTTGCTTTTCTCGGGGGGAGGCATGTTATTCTTAAAATTTGGGGAGGGGTTTGTGGTGGCGGTGATGGTGATGGTGGTTGTTGTTGATGTGGAGATGGTATGGTTATGGTTATCTGATAGATAGAAAGATAGTAGATAGATAAGAGGGGGTTGAATGGATGGATGGATGAGGGGTGGGTGGGTTTGTGGGGGTCCCATGGGTTAAGGAAGGAAGGTTACTTATGAATGGTTCTTTTGTGCGGAAGAGGATTACTTAGCTCCGGTGTCCCCCCTCTGGAATTGTTCCATGCAACATGTGCGGCGCTAATGCATCTATTTGTTTTATCTGTCTGTCTGTCATCAACAAATGCAACCAAGTTAACATTGTATACATAACGCTGATAATGCACATTCAATTTTTACACATCAATGAATGTTGCCCACGCTAACGCCCGCCCGAAATTCATATACTGCCAAATGATAGCTATGTATGCTCGCGTATACACTGGAAAACAAAATCAATTACACCCATTACATCCCGTCTCTTCCTCACATCGACTTTTTACATATTGGCCAGCTCATGGTCAATTTGTCGGTCGAGGAACGCCCGCTTGTCGCCTATCAACGTCGTTTGTAGTCGCTGCTCGACTAATGCGCGCACTGTTTTGGTTTGTTAGCATCTTATCCTTTCACCTCAGTGGAACATAACTCACCCTGCTTCTTCGTCACCGTGTCCAGATCTACCTCCGCCAAACAGGCGCGGATCGCCTCGGTGATCGACCCCTCGTCGGGCCCGCCGCTTCCCCGGAAGTCAAACGCACTCACAGGTCGCGATATCCCACCTACGGGACTGCGCGAGTTGGGCCGCCCGAGCAGGTTCTCCGTGCTTTGCATCAGCCCCACGCTGTGGCGGTTCGTCAATCCATCCGGCACACTGAGATTGCCCACCGACCGTGACGCCATATGTCCACTGGCAAACGGCTGATCCGTGTATCGCGTAAGACTCGACATGTGCGAGTTGCGGTTACCCGGGGTGTTGGCAAACGGTGCTGGAGATTGCGGGGGCATGTACGGGCTGCCGTGGCGGCCCTGGTGATGCGGGAACCCAGTCAGGATCGTCGACGCCGGCTTCACCGAGGAATAGTTCGAGTGCATGTCATCCATCTCCAGCGCCATGTCATCATAACGGCCACTGTACATCTTCTCCTGGCTCATACCAAAGTCACCGCGCCGTCCCGGCAGGTTGTTGGCCAGCGCGTAGTCATCCCAGCGCTGTAGCGGCACACTGCGCGGGTCGAAGCCCTCGTCGTCCACTGCCACCACGCGCTTGTTGCCCTGTTCTCCAATGACAATACGCGTGCTACCCCAACTGAAGTCGTCCTGCTTCCAGAACGAATAGAGCGGGAGAATGAAGTTGTAGATAGGATAGGCTAAAATGTAGATGATCATCCAGCCAATGTGCTGCCACTGCCGTTTCAGAAGGAAGATGATCGCCTGGAGACCATAAACACCTGCCAGGATGACAATCGAAATCATAGGGAAGGGACCGGTGTGACTGGCAACACGGTAGATCAGGTAGCCCAGATAGACACAAGTCGCAGGCAGGATGACCGTTCCGAGAAGATCAACCAACACGACGAATCGCATACTGAACAAGCAGAATCCGCACATATCTTTCAGCATGGCCACTTCCACCAGGTTGTGCACGGTTGAGTTGATCCAACGCCGACGCTGCGACAGCAAGACCGACCAGGTCTCTGGCGCGGCCGTACTGGCGTATGCATCCGGAATGAACTTGTAGGACATCTCCGGGAAGTGCTTCGTCATAAGCGTAGTCAGGAAACGATCCTCACCAAGCGACAGGAGGTTCTTCTTATGAAGAGTATCAACATCATTGTCTGCATACTCCTCAATAACCTTGTCAGAGATGATCAGAGGCTTGCCCTTGTCGGCGGTCCGCAGACGGTACATGCAGAAACTGTTCCTGTTAGTCAATGAACTTGTCGAAGGATTGAATCAACTTACCATCCGGGTAGACATGTGACACTACCGAAAAGCGACTCGAACGCCTTGGCCAGGTGATGTGAAATATAGTACTCATACACCTGAATCATCGTCCACCAACTTCGCTCTTCATTCTGCAGACTAGTCTCACCACAAATACCAGCAATGCGTGCATCGTTGGCACAAGCGGCAACCAGACGGTTGAGTGAATCTTCACGGACACTGGTATCGGCGTCCACCATCAGACAGTATTCGTAGAGCTCAGGGTCGACACCGATGACATTGTTGATTTGGTGGAAAATCTCCAGCTCCAGCGGCGACATAGGTGAACGATGGTGTACCCGATTGAGGAACTGCATCATCATGATCTGCGAGTCACGCTTACCCCTGTTTCCAGGTTTGGGCCGACTCTGCTCCGACTCCTTGCCGACCTTGACAACGACAATATACGGGACCACGTTACCCTCATACTCGTAAAGACCAGAATACACTTTGCCGTAGTTCAGCTGCTCGCTACCCTGGCCAATGGCCTTGCACGGCAACGCCGGGGGATCAACCTTCGGGTCGACTCCCAGAATATCGAGAACAATCTTAGGCGTAGGACGATCATTTCCGCCACCAACAATCATACCGTCGCAAATGACGAAGATGAGCTTCCTCTTGTTGTCGTATTGAAGAGCCGTGAGGGAGTCGAGACCTTTACGCAGCGCATCCTCACCTTCTGTGTACGCCGGCACATGGCAGATAACGAACTTATCCTGTGGTGCAGGACGACGCTTGGAGCCAAGTTGAAGGGCACTAACAAATTTAACGAGGATAACAACGCAGATGAGAACCGTGAACGAGAGAAGAATCCAGTTGTTAACCGTACAGCGGGGGCTGTCACGGAAATCCACTTTGCCTTTATAGAAGACATAGTCAAGACACGTCTGTGACTGCTGGAAGTCTGTTGTGTTCTGCCATTTGTCGGTAACATCCTCACCCGCATAATTCTTGAACAAGTCGGTTACGCTCGACGGTAGGAATGCGTAAGTGTCGTCATTATCGAACAATTCGGCGGTATAGAAGTAGTCCGTAAGGTCATAGATTTTGTCGTGAACGATGACCCAATACCGTGAACTATCCGTTGCTTGTTTTTGTACGGTGCTCTTCGACCAAACAAGGGGACCCTTGTAATAGGTCTTGATCTTGGGCAAAAAGATGTCCTCATACCAAGTAATGTTGTGCAGCTTGGTGGTGGTACTGGGGGTGTGATAAGATCCACAGTAGTGCTCTGCGTTGGGATACTCGAGGGCATTGGTGTTGTTAAACTGCAGAGTGACTGACTGCTCCGTCACGTATGGCGAGCAGAAGCGAGTCAACGGAGGGGTGAAATACTGATCCAGAATCTCACCCGCGAATGGCTTCATGTTGCTCGTTGTCGTTTCAATCGAAGAATCACTGTGCTGAAGTCTCCAGAACTTGGTAATGTCGTAGACGTTTCCATGAATACTGACATAGAAATCGTTGTCGAGAGCATGCCAACTTAGTTGCTTCTCATTCCAAGCCTTGTCCTTGTTCGGGCAGAGCAGATCACCAAAGGCAATAATGTAAAAGCAAACCACACCGTTGAACAGCAGAATGATAAGCATCAGAACGAGCTTCTCGCGCCAGGCCATCCGGACATCGGGACGCTTCATCCGGCCAATCCAGCGCAGAGCGAATGATGGAATCCAGAAAGTCAACGCCCAGACAAATCCGACCCAGATGCGTCGGCCCTGAGTAATGGGCTTCTTTTCAATGTGTTTGGGGTCGCCGACTTCAGGGTCGAGCTCGCCGTTGTTATAATGGGCGTATTCGTCAGAATACGGATTGTCCCACTTCCTAGTATCACCCTTCGAGCCGAGACCATAATCGCCACCCATATTTAGAGTCTGGGGGACACTTGGCGCGATTGATTTGGCGCCTCCATGGAAGCTGGGCGCCAACGTGCTCTGGCGGTGGTTGAGAAGGTCGTCTCGACTGCCCAGAAGGCTGGTGGATTCTGCCATAGGAGTTCCCGCATAATGGGGCATCCCGGCATCGAGCATGGTGTTCCCGTATAGGAAAGGGTTGGCCGTCGCGGGCTCGTCTGGTTTCATGTCAAGCATTGTTTCAGCTTCCCACCATGCACTTTCTCTCATCCAGATTCGCTGGTGACCCACGAAGGCATCTCCGTTGGTCCAGCCTCTCTCCATCAACCAACTCTCAACACCATCCCGACCCTCAGCGCATCCGAGACGGCAATAACGGCCGACGAACTCATCCATGTCGAAGTCGGCCGTAAAGTCAATCTGCCTGAGGCGTCGGTTGGCCCATTCAGCAAGTCTCCATTCCCGCAATTGCCGGGACACGACTCCGGCTGACCAGGCGGCCGTCGGCGAGAAGGTGTTGAGTGTCTCGGGCAGATCATCAGTCGGGTGGACGGAGATATGGTGCCAGACCCTGCTACTTCCCAGCGTGGTGGGAAGATCAAACCGGCCCCGCTTCCCAACCGTGATACCTTCGGATTCAACAGGGAGCAAAAGTTTTCGGAGGAACGAGTCCATGTCGACTTCCAGCCCAACCTTCTCCAGCACTTCTTGTCGCTTGCCGAGTTCATACTCGCGTTCCTGCCAAGCAGAACCCGTGGTGATTCCGAGGTCCGCCTCAACCTGAGCTACCGCAGAGGAAACATCGTTTGCAATAGCATGTCCTACAGGAGGAACAGTGACGCCATCCTCCTTCATTTCCGCGTTGATACCAGTATTGTCATCGAACACGTTGCGAACTGCCACAGCTTTTCCTAGAGCAGGTCTGGGAATATCCACCACAGAAATGCTGACCGTGTCATCATCAGTCCACTGGCCGCCAGGACCAGAGCCACCACTGGTGCTGGGGTCGTTGTCGAGAATCGCTTGAAGCTCGCTGGAAATGGCCTCGTTGGCCTTTTCAATCACCCAGTCAACCAGTGCCTCGTAAATCCCCGAGATCAGCACCTCGCGATCATCAGTGGAGCAACTGTGCAGCAGAACCTCCGGATCCAACCCGAGCAGACCACCCACTTCGTCACATGCTTCCTCAAGATCTTCCTGGTCAACCAAAAAGCCAGTGGCATTACCAAGCTTCAGCAGACCGGCAAGGGTGGACAGGAGACCACGCTGAGCCGCTCCCTTGATGCCGATCGACTTGAGCGCAGCTCTGAAGTCTTCCGCAGCAGCAGCGTCGTCGGCGGTGGGAAGGTACGGAGGCGGCGTATATGTACCCGACTTACTGAGCAGAGCGTACGAGGAGGCATCTTTCAGGTTCAGAAACTCTCGCTCTGCAGGGGTCGAGATCGACGCTAGAAGGTAATAGAACACGTCAAATGCTCGATAACCGGCCTCTGTAGGGATATCAAGAAGGCCTTTGCGCACATTGATGCCAGACGTGGACAGTGCCAGTGAGAGGCCTACAACATCACCTTTCAGGTTGATGGAGTAGCGAGCAGACAGAGCAGAGTACAGAGAGTAAGAAGGGTTGAAGGAGGTTACAGCGGACAGGAAGGGTCGAAGAGCTGTAAGAGCGGTAAATGCGATGTTCGGAGTGGTAAGAGGTAGCGCCGCCAGGAAAGGTTCAAATATGGATGGAGTTGATTGATGGGTCGAGCTGAACAAGTTAGCCTTCAGTCCATGTAATTAAGAGCTCGATGCTTACCATAGCACAATGCAACCATCTTCTGCTCGTCTTCGTGCATGTTCCCAAGCTCTGAGTGCCAAATCCCGATCTATCGTCCCTCCTTCTTGACCATTGGGGTTTGCTCGGGTAGCGGTAACCCATGTGTTCACCACCAAGCTTGTCCCTGCATCCAGTTGATAGGGCTGCCCCGAGTTGTAATGTGCATGCAGCGCATTCAGCAGCGTTGTTGTCGTCACAGTTGAGGGAGCACTTGGACGGGACGAGGAAACGCCCGTGGAATGACTAGAATAGACCGAGAAACGAGTTGACATAGCTATTTTCTGCTTGACCCAGAACTTGTATAACGATAGTGATAAGGCGCAGTGCCAATCCGGAGGTCGCTCTTATAAACCAGGTTGAACGAGTGGAAGGATATCGAGCGCTGGTCAAAGCATGGGGTGTCGCAAGCTTCACCGGGTGGCAGGCGATGGACGCATGTGAATAAACTCAAACGACGGAAGTGCTTTGGAGTTTCTAAAATAAGAGCTGACTTCACTGGAGTTGACTGTCAACGATCGAGATAATTCGCAGGTATAGATCAGCGATCAGGCGATAGGTATCTTTTGGAGCGAACGTTAGAAGCGATGGGTCGTAGCGAATGTTGGCATACGAAAGGCTGCAAATTATTAAGATTATGCTCAAAACACAGAGGCAACGGACCAGCAGAAGCAGCGGAGAAGGAAAAGGCAAAGAATCACAGCCAGTACTGACAGAAACACAAAACAATGAACATCAAAGAAGCAGCAGTGAGAGGGGAACTAAACCGACAGACGACCGAGCAACAGAGCAGAAAGAGAAGAGAGAGAAAGAGAGCGAGAGCATGATGCGAGGCCGCTGACCCCAATTTGTTGTTTGTATGGTATCTCTGGGTTTAGTTTACCACCAACAGCTTAACTCTAGTGGGGATGGGCGGGTATGGCAGGATGAAAATTACTTCTGCAGTGAGTGGGTGGGCTGCTTGTTTCAATTGAGGTTCTGTCCCGTCGCCCGGGTTTCTCATTGGTAATCCTGGACCTCCCGAAGCCTTGCAATTGCAAAGAAAACCGAGCGAAAAGCACTATGGTTGCTGCTAGCCATCCGCTAGCTAACTCTAACTAAGGCGATAGGTCGTTTAGTAACCGAACTAGGAGCTTCCCGAAAGAGGACACCGTTTCGCCTCCCCCTCGCACACTTTTTGCGACTACTGGGTTTAGTTCGGTTCGGAGAAATGCGACGAGGGTTTCGAGAAAGCCAATTTGAAAAAGTAGAAAAAGAAATTTTAAAAAAAAGAATAAAAGGTGTTCTCCTGCAGCAGGCATACATAGATACACAGATACATACATTACTGGTGCAGGTAAGCAGCAATAGAACCCTTGCACTGGAGTATTGAAAATTTCCCGGGCCAGCATCAGGGCTCCCTGAAAATGTCATGTGGCGTGCAGCAGTACTTTACAGCCAACCAATGGAGGGGGCTAAAAGGGTCAGATCCATGGCCCTAGACCCTTAAGGACCCTATAAATGGCACACTTTGTCTCACCCGAACTGGGGCTCGATACCTAATCGGGTAGGCCGTATCTCATCGTACGGTACTAGTGAGGTTTTGAGGGTTTCTCTCATCCAGCATTCAGCCAGTGCGACTGGATCTACCCGGCAGGACAACATTCAATGTCTCAGTCAAAGCCAATGGCCGCTGACCATCTTGCCACCACCACCTTATCAACCTTGCCAACAACATCGTTGGGTCCGTTCTCTTTGTCTCTGCTATTTCTGGAAATCCATCGACTGGGGAGCGGAGGGGCAAAGCTGTCATATGCTGTGATGAAAAAACCCAAGAGATCATGCATGATTTACGATGGCGCCCCCCAGTGCCGGCGGGTCGCCTTGAAGTTGTTGTTATTTTTGTTCCAAAGGAGTGCGCGCCCCCCTCTCCGAGAAACCTGGCCATTGTTTTTATTCTGCAGCATCCATAATCGTAATACCCGCCCGTGTGACACGGTAGTAGTCTACGAGATAGGTAAGGTGGTTGTCTGATGCTGGTAGTAGAGACCGACTAGTCATGTTGAATAGGGAAGGGGTATCTCATTAGTGAGGACTAACTATTTATCTACTTACTTAGTAATAGATAAATGACTGGTCTGGTATGAAGGGAAACTTTAAAGTTGGGTAACCTCAAGCTGTACTGTTACAGGTGACGTTTCGTTCTCTCAACAAAGACACACAAAAGTCATTTTAACAAGGTCAGTCATTTGTGATTCTGGGCTGCCTCTATCCAACACAGCTTCTAGAGTAAGTAAGAAAAACACAATTATCTGTGGGTGGATATGGATGGTAGAAAATTGGATCTTCCAGCGTGTTCTACGGAGTAAGTGCTTTACCGCCGACCAGCAACCACAAGGGAAATCCCACCCCCCTAGTTTCATCAACAGATCGAATGATCCAATCGGTCCACCCCGACCACCTGCTTAGCCTGTTTCTTTTATGTTTTCCCGGGCCCCTCAGGGTCTTCTTGGCTATCTTTCTCTTCCTTTCCCCCCTGCTCTTGTGAGTGGTGGTGGTGGGTGATCATTCACGATCTCCCGACCGAGGATATGAGTGAGTATTTTTTTTTTTTTCTTTTCGGCTCTGGCCTACTCGCATTTAAATCCCAAACAGTCAAGTCTCCGCCATCGACACCCATGGCTCCATCCTCTATCTAGTATCTACGTATCTATTCACCCAGTTATTAGATATTAACCGCAGATCGCTAACCGGCCGACAACTGACTCGTAATATGTATCAACTCGAGACGCTGCAGGCCTGGGTGCATATATTGAGGCCTCATGCCCCCCGGTTCCTGTCGGTCACCAAAGCGTGAGTTGCTGTGAAAGGAGGAGGGCAGGAGACTTGACCCCTTTTCCTGCGTGTGGCGCTGAATGATTGACATAAGACTGAATCCGGTTGCCAGAATAGATTGGGGCGGCCGGGAAGCCTCGTCTCACATTCTCGCCAGTCCTGTTGTTTTTTCGCATCAGTACGGAGTAATGAAGTAATAATATCTGGGAAGTTACTGCGTAGTATATCTGAGACCCCAGAATGAGAGAAAGAGTAATTTTTGAAATCAGTGTGGTTTCAGCTCAAGGATTGACAAAATATCTCGAGGCGGGAACTGAGACCGATGTCTCTTCTTTTTTCTTTTTTCCCTCTTTTTCTATTTTCCTTCTTTTCCTCCTCAACCATCCCACAGCCAGTGGGATTAATCTAATATGGTCCCCTCATTGACTGACTGGCTCGGGTCTTAACCTAACCAGTAACCAGACCATCAAGGGACGGTTCGACCGACCGGACTGAAAATCCCCACCGGCTGAGGATCCGCGGGTCCTCGGCTGTCAGCGCAGGATGCATCGTCCCAAAAATAATCCCCAATATCAGGAGACATGGAAGGTGGGAAGTGGGAAAGAAACAAGCACCGCACTATCTGGGATGTGGATGATGACCGACATGATTCTGGCCGCTCGGGATGAACATTCTGGCCTGTGGAATTTTCCTTTTTCTTCTTTCCACATGAATCAATTGATTTCTCCGTCACCGACCTACTTTGTAGTGGTCCCTCCCCAAACCGTGTAAAACCCCCTCGATACCATCCCGCTAGTAATTTGCAACTTCCCCTCCCCCCCGCCGTCTGGTAACCAGTCCCATACGGACTTACCCAGTCGGGCAACATAGTGACTGTTAGTGCTGGCGCGCCGAGTCGCAGCTAGACCAACCACAGCCCAAAGTCTGTAAGATTTTCCCTTTATCAACAGTAGTCCATATTATTGTTCCGCTGCTTAACCCCGGACAGCTTCCCAGCAGCAACTTGTGCTCTTCCTCTCTGTCGCACTTGTATTGTTGACTGCCTCTTTTTTCTTTTCCTTACTCTTCTCTTTTCCTTCTTCTTTCGGTTCTGTTGGCTCTGTTTTTCTAATCTAATCAAGGCTCTCCGTTGAGCATCCCTCGTTTATCCATCTTAAACAGCCTATATACGATCGTTTGGCCGGATCGCGCCACGCCTGCCTCTCGCTACCTCCTCCGTCAGCAGGGCTGCTCCCATTTCACATTCACCACACTGGAGATTTGGATAGTCCCCGATCGCCCTTTGTCTTGTGATCGGCTAGCATTTACCTTTTATACGAGCAATGAACCTATCTTCCCTAGACTATTAGGAATTCCCCATCCAAGATAATCGAACATTCCTCGGCTGGAAATAGTCCACCTCGGCCAAGCATACCTGAAGAGTTCCATTACGGTCCAGACAAGATCTCGCTTTCTGTCGGCCACAGTCTTTACAGATTTTGTTGCAGGTACCCTTGTGGTGATTGCGGCGAAAGCCTGACAACTTCCACAACCTCAACCTTTGAGGTGGTAACCTCACCAGCAACATGGCTGGACCTGCACCCTCCGGGCGTACACCGTCTCATGCCCAATCGTCGTTACCATCCCTACCAGCGCATTTGCAGTCGGATACTCACTTGACCGCGCACCTTGCAAGCCGGTAGGGTTTTCTTTCATAGAGTATGAAGCTCATTTCACTGACAGCGGCCTCTAAGGTTTCATGTGGGCTTACCGACAGCCCGTCTTTCCTCCCAGGCATTGATCAGCTTGAACACATACACAACATCATCCCGCGGCCCCGATGGCGACAAGGAAGGAAGTGCTATGGGAGAGGCGGAAGACCTCGCCAAACGTGCATTTACTCGGCTAGGTGCCCGTGGAGAAAACCAGGCCATTGTTTTCCTGTGAGCATACATATCGATAACTGCTTATGTGGAAAGCTGACAGTCATTCTAGTGGTGAAAGCGGCTCTGGAAAGACGGCCATTCGCTCACACCTGTTATCATCATTTCTCTCGTTTTCCTCGACCCCACTCTCGTCGAAGCTGTCTTACGCTGCGTTCGTTTTTGATACCTTGACTACGACCAAGTCCGTGACTACGCCAACTGCGTCCAAAGCTGGACTGTTCCTGGAACTGCAATACGACGGGTCTTCCTCGGTCAATCCCACCCTGATCGGTGGTAAGATTATCGACCACAGGCTAGAGCGCAGTCGCATTGCCTCAGTGCCCACGGGAGAACGTAGTTTTCACGTGCTCTACTATCTCTTAGCCGGTACCAGTGCTGCGGAGAAGGAACACTTGGGCTTCGACAGTTCTATACATGTGTCAACGAGTGGTGGCAAGCTCTCAGGCGCCTCAATTGGTCACAAGAGGTGGAGATACCTCGGCCACCCCACTCAGCTTAAAGTCGGTATTAATGATGCTGATGGTTTCCAACACTTCAAGACCGCACTCAGGAAATTGGAGTTCCCTCGCAGTGAGATCGCCGAATTCTGTCAAATCCTTGCTACCATTCTTCACCTTGGTCAGCTGGACTTTGTTAGTGGCCAAGCCACTACCACTACAGCGGAGGAATCGGGCGGTTACTCTCATGAGGGTGGCGAGACGGTCACTGTCGTCAAGAACAAGGATGTCCTTTCTGTTATCGCTGCATTCCTGGGATTGGGGGTTGAAGAGCTGGAGACCAGCTTCGGGTATCGGACGAAGACGATTCGTCGGGAACGCGTGACAGTGATGCTTGATCCGAAGGGCGCTCGGCAAAATGCGGATGGGCTCGCGCGCACCCTATATTCGCTGCTGGTGGCCTATATCTTTGAGGGTATCAATCAGCGGATATGTGCGGCTGAAGACAGCGTGGCGAACACTGTCTCCATCCTCGACTTCCCTGGATTCTCTCAGGCCAGCGCAACTGGCTCTACGCTCGATCAGCTCCTGAGCAATGCGGCCACCGAGTCTTTGTACAATTTCTGCTTGCAGTCATTCTTCGAGCGGAAGGCTGAGATGCTGGATCGTGAAGAAGTTACTGTGCCTGCTACAAGCTACTTCGACAACAGCGATGCTACTCGTGGCTTACTCAAATCAGG